CCAATAACAATTGTCGATTGATTCTATAACAGTGTATAGGAAACAACAATTACATACTCTTATAATAATGGCCGATAATCACTAATAATCAAAAAATGATATGACAACAAAGACGATCAAGTGACCACTGGGTGGCAGTGTTATGATATTAATGGTTGGGCCACCATAGTTGGCCAATATGGTATGGTAGTAGTGATTAAGTAGAGCTTAAGAAATCTACAAACATTAGGGCTTTTTGTAAGCTCCAATTCAAGTCCAAGTCCAAACTTCTTTGTGCAGACAATGGTGGTCTATACCCCATCAAATGACTGCTTGTGATTTCCTTAAATGTGTGATATTTTCTAAATTTAAGTGCCTTAATGGTAATAAAACTAAGCAATATTTAGTTCTTTATATTCATCTTATCGATAATCCTAATTTCATTATAAATTTGAGAGATTTGGTGATCACTTTGTCATCTATTAAACATCCCAACATTTCTAATAATACTTCAAATGCATGGTCAAAATTCATTTGGGCCTGATTGGATCAAATTTGGTATTGTTTGGATTGTCTCGTCGAGATGTTAAGGTCAATTATAAAAATCGGAGCATTGACAATCCTTAATTTGATTATGAAATTTTCAAATCCAAAAATACATCAAGGTTCATGCTTAATCAAGTTAATTTTTTGGTGACACATCAGGCATAGTAATATCATTTAATTTAGAAAATATGCCTTTAAGATAGAAAGACAAAAAAATGACAAGCCTGTCATAATCCTTAAAATACATTTTATGAGAAATTTGTAATGGAAATTTGACTTTTTATGCCATATAATGACTATCTTACTTATCTATGAAGTCTGCATGGAATAGCTTATAGCTCGTGCTATTTAGTAGGAGAAATTTTAAACACACTTCATTCCAATTGCAGGCATTTAGAGGTTGTTTGACAACCTCTGAGATTCAAGTCGTGGATTTAGTAAACCATATAAATCGAATTTTAATAAATCCTCTGGTGGGTAAATTGTAGACATTATTTAATAAGAAATTTAATAAATCTAATTAAACCTTGTAAAACTATTTAGTAGTTTTTTTCACGATTCATGTCTCTTACTTATAATTAATTTAATTTATTATTACTTTTTAGTTAAATAAATTCATAATCAATAAAGTTAAAGTTAGATATTTACAAAATATAGTTTTTTTTGGAAAATTAACCATTAGTTAGTTATTTATTTTCCATCAATTATTCTAATTCTATTTTAATTATTATATTTTAATATTTTAATCAAGTATTAATTAAAATTTTATAACTACCTAAATTTATAAAAAACTGATTGAATGATGAACAATACAAATATAATTGAGTTAGCTTAATATTTTTCTATGTTAATCTATTTAACTTAATATAATTTCTATGAAATAATTCATTCATAGATTTGTCATCATTTTAATTGATTAATACTTATTAAAAATTTTCAATATTAATTAAGATTTAATTAGAGATTTTTAGACTAATTATTCAAAATTATTTAATTACAATTAATTTAATGTAATATTTAAACTAAACATTAATTAAAAAAAAGCATATGTTTCAACACTTTTTGAAGATAGCCTCTACTAGAGCTGTAAACGAGTCGAGCTTGAGCGAGCTCAGGCTTGGCTCGTGTTCAGCTCGTTCGAAATAGCTCGTGTTTGGCTCGATTTAAATGTTCGTGTTCGGCTCGAAATTGGCTCGTTAAACTAAAATTGAGAAAAATAGATGTAAAGTATGAGATTCGAACATGGATCAAATATATACAGAAGAAGACACTAACCACATTGCCACATGAGGTGTTATGATTTAAACTTTGACATAAATATATATAATATATTATTATATAAATAATTTATGTAATATACTGTTATATAAATAAAATGAGCCAAACACGAGCAAACAAATGTTTTTTTTTTTTATGTTAAGCTCATTTATAATTTGAGCTTAAAAAATTTGTTCGTGTTCTGCGATTTTATGATTCGAGCAGGCTTAACGTACGAGCCGAACACGAACTGCTTAACGAGCCGAACACGAGCTGTTCACGAATAACGAGCCAAATTGACAGCCCTAGCCTCAACGGATCATTGGCTTCATTTGGAGCTGCTGTAATAGTAGTCTGAATGGAATAGCATGTAGCTCGTGCTCTATCCCTAAAATCAAAAGCCCATAAAGAACACCCTCCCAAATGTTGCAGGCGAAGCAATCACCATAAATCTTAAATAAATTTACGATTTAAGATGTCAAAAATGCTTGGCTAAAAAGATCTACATTTTATCCCA